AATCCTCCCCAATCCCCCCGATTCCCCATGGGATCCCTCTACAATGCTGGCTGGAGTAGGGGAAGTCTCTAATGGGTGCACCATTCCAAATCACGATATATCTATAGTGCACATATTTCTCTTAGAAAACAGTCATGTCCGTCTTAGAAAGAATTACCCAATTGTTAAATCTTCACTATGATAACAGTCTAAGTAGAGACAGCACTGCAAACTCTGCCTGAGATGGATGTTCAGAACTAAAGTGGTGCACAGCCGAAGTCAACAGGTGCATTGCAGTTATTCATTTGGTCAATTTATGGTAAGGATAGGGAGGGGGGGGGATTCTTGTAGAGGCCAAAAAATTGTCATTGGTGCAAGAATTGATCTGCAGACATGAACAGTGATGACAAAAATAAAGAAAAAGATCACAGAAAGCCCTGCTCACAGCCTAAGTCCACTCAGTCCTCCCGAGTTTTAGCTCATCTTGCAATGCATAGTGAGGTGAAGACAATGTGTGCTGGGGTGGCAAGAGCCCCCAATCAACCTTCTCCTCAGGTTGTGCCTAAAGGGCATGACCTGTCACAGCAATTTATATTGTCAAATAAAGTTTGACACTGAGGTGGGGACTTAGAATGGCAAGTATATCAGTACTGCAAAGATTTATCATTCATTTTTAGAGATATACTTGCAACTGCTCATGCAATACTACTGAATTGTAAATTTACAGATACAATGTACAGTTCGTGACCATGTAGCTTGTAGGTTTTTGTCAACATAGCTAGTAACACTGTGCATGGAACTGAGCTATTACAAAGATAGTCACTAATGTGACAGTCAAATTGTGCTTGTAGATAGGTCTGTAAAGATGTTTTGCATAACAGATAACAATAAGGCATGTAAAAAAAAAACACCCAAGAATGATAATGAACATAATTATCACGTGATGATTGACAAATACCATACAACAACAATGGTTCTTGGCCACACAACACAAAAATACATTCATTAATATTCATGGGTGTTTTTTTACATGCCCAATTTTTACCAATTATGCAAAACATCCTTATAGACCTATCTACAAATAAAATTTGACTGTCACATTAGTGGCTATCTACATAACAGTTTGGCTCACTGTTTCACATACTATTGACTCCTCCCTGTACAGTGTTACCAGCTATGTTCATGAAAACCTACAAGCTATATGGTCACAAACTCCTGTGGCCAACTGTACATGTCAAAATCAAATCATACGACTACATCTCATGTGAATGAAAGAAAAAAACTGATTTGATTATCCTTAAAACTGGAAGAAACCTATCATAATAACACTTTCGTCTGTCTGTGATCCATTTCAAAGTAATGTCAAAATATGTATCATATTCACAATAGTAATGTGCGAGTGCAGAAGGGTGAAATTATCTGGTACATCATAATGGTGGTTTGGGGCTTCACCCTTGTTACACTGCCTAATTTTTCTTTGCAATTTATAATCAAAGTAAGGCATTGCCCCCTTACTAAAATTTTGCTGATAATTTCATAAACTATACATTTTCATTGTATATTTTTGTTATTTTCACATCAGAGATCTCCATGCTTGACTATTTATTAGCACTACATGTCTACTTATAGAAAACATGACATCAGAAATCAGGCAGTAAGGATGTCGTGGGCTCTGAGCAGTGATATACAGCAGATACCTTCACCATTTCACAGTAGAAATTAGCCCACAACAGCTGTACCAGTATAGCTTATGACTATCTGTTATGCTCTATCAGATGGTGGTGTTTATTTCCTTTAATCCCTGTGCATCACCCTCAGAAATATTAACCCATTTTTCACAATCAAAGTGGAAGTAGGCCTATTCTTTCTGGACTGCAAAAGTATTTTCAATTTGTGAGTTTGTCCATTCCACATTTTCACCTTTCTACGGTGGACTTGGTTATTTTACATTTTATGACAATCGGGACTTCCCAGACAATAAATATTATATCATTAGATGGCTATTTTACATTTTATGACAATCGGGACTTCCCAGACAATAAATATTATATCATTAGATTTATTCATGTGTGATGAGAATGAATCTGAAGGCCAATTCCATAGCAATCACAGCTGACAATCTTGATGTGTAAAGTTCCAATAGCAGGGAAAGGCATGAAATGTATCAGGGAAATTATGCGGTAAAATAAGCTAAAATAAAATGAATAGAGAACAAAAATGCATAAAACCAGCAAAAAAAAATAATAATAAATAAATAAAATAATAATAATAATAATAATAATAATAATAATAATAATAATAATATAATAATATAATAATAATAATAATAATAATAATAATAATAATTCTATGGACGTATCCACCATCTTTGAAAGACTACGGACTGATGCAAGAACTTTTGAAGAAAAATCTAAGGGAACCCAATTCACTTTTGGTAAAATCCACGGGAATTCACACTACCCATTATGTCCTGATCAATAAACCAACCTAATTCCAAGTCACAAACTTTATCCAGCAATCTAAGTTGCTGTGACAAGGAGTGTCCTTTGGGCACTGCCGAGGGAAGATTTGATGGGGGGCTCTGCCTCTCAACAGCCGCCGGGAAACATTCTCTTTACCTTGGTATGTACTGTAAGATAGAGCTACATACATACCTTAATGAATAAACCAAACACCTTTCTATCTTGAGACACCAAACTTTCCTTCGTTTCTGTTTACTTTCTGGATAGCTTGGTTTCTAATCACTTTTTCTGGCAATTTGGGGCACTTTGTAGGCACACATGTCAAGCTGTGATAGTTACTTAGGTGTACTTCTGCATAGCCACTAAATTGTTTAATAAAAGACCCAGATTTGACACAACACTGAAAATGATACATTCCTCACTAGCATTTTGTCAAGGTATGGCGATCGCGGGGTCTTGAAAATCCCTGTCAAAAGTGCAAATGCACACTAGGTTTTTGTAAAGAGTAACGTAAAACTATCAAAACACGTTAAAAAAATAAATGGTAATTGTTACAGAGAGCGACGCACCCTCTCAGAGACTAAGTCGAAAAAATGTTTTTCTGCATGAAATCCTATGATTTCATCGATTTTCGGCCTTGTTTCTTTTGCGAATGAATCGTTCAGGAGATCGAGTACCATCGACGATCTTGATTTGATAGTCCCGTTAGCAGGGGAGGGCATGAAGTATATCAGGGAAATTATGGGGTAAAACAAGCTTAAATAAGAAGAATAACGATCAAAAATGCATAAAACTAGCACAAAAAGCGCTTAAAATTGGCCAATGAAACTCTACGGATGTAACCGCCATCTTTGAAAGTTTACGGACTGACGCGAAATAAATAAAAAACTCTACGGGAACCCAACCCACATTTCGGCAAAAAAAAAAAAATCTACGGGAATTCACACGTTCCAACCCCCAAAAACGTATTGACCAATAAACCAACCAACCTAATATATCAATATTTATTGCCGTGACTAGGCGTGCCCTTCAGGCACTGCCCGAGGGGAGGGTTGATGGGGGCAAGCCCCCAACACCCCCCAGGACACATTCTCTCCACCACGGTATGTACGGCAAGACAGAGCTGCATTCACACGTAAAATAATAAACCAAATACCTTTATATCTGGAAACGTGAAACTTTCGTTTCTTTGTACTGTTGGGATTGCTTCGATTTTAATCACCTTTTTCGTCCTTTGGAGCTCTTGATGGGCTCAGATATAAAACTGGGATGGTTACTGAAGTCGAATTATTCTTCGATGCCACTGCAAAGGTCTTAAAAAAGAACCCAGAATCAACACAACACTGGAAACGCAACATTTCTCACCGGCTTTCAATCTCGAAATGAGCAGGTTGGTGAGCTGTCAACCTGTGGCTGGCGCAAGAAAGTGTGAAACACTCGATGCGCAGGATTCGATATGAGGGTATAGATAAATATAAAAATATGCAATTGAAGTATAATAACATTACTAAAAGACTTTAAAGGTATAAATGCGTACCAGCAGACACAGATAATTAGCCAAATATCGTTTTGACAAGCGCGTAATGATACACGGACTAGTTCGCGAACGCAAAAATGCGTTCGTGGGTCAGTGTCGTGTTTTTCCTAGCAAGGTAAACAAGCTCATCGACTTTGAATTTGAAAGGCGGCCGCGCGTTATATTTTCCTCATTTAGCGGTGACTATAAGGCCGGTGCATCTTAAACTATACGCTATCCCCTTCTATTTTTCCCACTCTATAAGATGGCGGTGTCCATTTTCCTCTATCTACGCGCGTCGCGGTCTTCAACCTCTACCCAAAAATGCGTTCATGGGTCAGTGTCGTGTTTTTCCTAGCAAGGTAAACAAGCTCATCGACTTTGAATTTGAAAGGCGGCCGCGCGTTATATTTTGTCATTTAGCGGTGACTTTAAGGCCGGTGCATCTTAAACTAAACGCTATCCCCTTCTATTTTTCCCGCTCTATAAGATGGCGGTGTCCATTTTCCTCTATCTATGCGCGTCGCGGTCTTCAACCTCTACCAAATAAATAAATAAAGCAATACATGAAATACATGAAACAGGAAAATCAGATGTAGAAATTTACAAAATAACTGCCTTCTCAAGTGTGTACTAATGCATCAACTAGTTGAAAGATCACAGGAATGAGTTAAGCAGTCATAGTATTGTTTATATTTGTGATGTAAACATGATAAATAACTTCGGAAAAGATGGATTGATCTTCTCTCTTCTCTGTCATGTAACTCCTTTATTTTTAGTTTGCGCACCTTGTGCCATAGATGAAAATAGTCTTAGTTTATGTCAAGGAAATCATTCCACACACTTTTTTGTACTGTAACCCTGATTGTTATCCGCTGTAATTTTACTGTGGATTCTTTACATATTATAATGTGTATGAAAATGTAATCTTACAAGATAACCTAGCAATAGCAAAGAAAAATCTTGGTATCAACACAACAAATTGTTTACATCAACAAGTAGTTTGATGTTAACATGAAATAATACATCCATTTTCACCTGACCTTAAGCGCATATTTGTGCTGGTTCCTCTTGCTGAAGCACTCGACCACCTTGCCGTTGATCCCGAGGCCAAGCACATTTGAGGAGATGATGTAGTCCTCGATGATAGGCCTAGACTTGGTGTTGAGAACACACACTCCAGCGCGACTACCTCCTCCGCCGCTCATCCTCGCCTGCTCCTCCAGAGGGTGGCTGTCGACCA